CATGTTTGGTGGGACGGGGACTGTTTCTATGGAAACCAAAACATTTGCTAATGAGAGTTGTTAAATAAACATATAATCTAGTGAGAGTTAATACACAAATAATCATATAATACACAAACAAACATTTCGGTGAGGTTTAATGTTTATCAAATGTCTTCTCTGTGTGTGTGTGATTTTTAAAAGAAAGTCACATCAGGTTATCTGCTATGTCCACTAAGGGGAATCGAACCCCTGATTTTTGCGTTGTAAATCCGTAGACTTACCGCTGTCCCACCGGGGGAAGACAATAGCCTGTAACAGTCAAAAAGTAGGCACATATCGAAATAAGAATTAACAGAGACACAAATATCCCAGTGAGAATTAATACATAGAGAAATAATCCAGTGAGATTTCATAACAAATATTTCTCTGGGAGCTAAAACAGAGATAACTACACATCTGTGTCAGTTGAAGTTAATGGATAGATAAAATATCCAATTGAGAATTAATAGGTAGAGCACAGACCCCACAGATCTGATGGTTCACATATAGCCATATTAGATGCAGTATATTCACCATGCCTTTATCACGTTATTTTTGCAGATCTAACAAGTGAACGGATGTCATCTTTGATAACACTTTCAGTTAAATGGATTTTTTTACGTTGTATTATCAAGCTCTGCATATCGTTGAATGTTATCATAACCTACAAGTAATCATGTATTGTGGCTACTTAACACATTGCGTTTCCACATAGTTCGTAGTCTATTGTGTTTCTTCTCCCAAATTCACGTATTCCGTGACATCTTGCGCAGATTTTGACGCTGTCAGTCTACCTACCTAGACCTTCATTTTTTTTTCAAGTCCATCCTCCAGGAAAAGGTCCATCATCCAGAATCTTTCGGGTTGTCAAGTTTCTTGCTTCGTGATCAAATGATTTCTTAGTATGATGAATCTATCTACTTAGTGTGACTATGTAACCATTACTACTGTGAACCCTATTAAAACATACTAGTTGGGTCATATCGCAAATTGAGAGAGTTTCCTGTTACTTATGATACTCGCATTACTTCACGAATTTTCTATCGTAAACTAGTCTCATATGGAAATTTCACACCGGAATATGTAATCAGGGCTGAAGAGTGTGATAGCACACATGCTATCAATGTTTATTTACTTACAAACTATCTTAAACACAGCAAAAAATAACAACAAAAACTTAACTAAATAATATTTGCTTCCAAGATCATAAGTGATTTAGATTAATTTCTCAGTAGCAATGAATATGTAATGGAATGAAAGTCAATTTCTTCTAAGAAGCAACATAGATGTTAGATATTTGCAAACAAATCCAAACTTAAGATTAATGATTAATGGTAATAAGTTTTAGAGATAAACTTATGCTGATCCACGAACTCTTTATTTTAGCAAACATGTACAAGCAAGATATCTCTAATATAAAAATTTTTTTATGGAATTACTGACCAGATTAAAATTAAATAATTTCCATATTATGTTTGTTTTTTAATTTCACGCAAAGCTACACGAGAGCTATCTGCGCTAGCCGTTCCTAATTTAGCAGTGTAAGACTAGAAAGAAGACAGCTAGTCATCACCACCCACCGCCACTCTTGGGCTACTCTTATACCAACGAATAGTGGGATTGACCGTCACATTATAACGTCCCCACGGCTGAAAGGGCGAGCATGTTTGGTGGGACGGGTATTCGAACCTGCGACCCTCAGATTACGAGTCGAGTGCCCAAACCACCTGGCCATGCCGGGCCTCCGTATTATGATAATTGATATTTTATTCAATGTTAAATGAATTGTGTTAAAGGTTTTTTCTAAACTGTAATGGCATACACTAGTGACGTTTATGAAAAGTGAAAACAGGTATAGTGTTTGAAATTTTCTCCTGCTCATACTTTATTTCCTACTTCAAAAAATAATGCTGAGCTTTAGTTGCAACATTTCAGGTTTAATTAAACACCTTTTTTTTTTTTCTATGGAAGCAGTTTCATCAGATGATGTAATATATTGGTAAAACAAACAGTAAAAACAGAAGTATGCAATGTTTCTTAGTTTCTCTGTCGCATAAAAGTTTCCATAAATGATCCTTTTCATTGCCAGTTTCAATATAAGTAATTTATCTACACATTTAAAGTTAGCAAGGAAAAACAGTAAAGTAATTCATTGTTTCTACGCATGGGGGCACTGCTGTCTCGGTGAAGTTAAATATAGTACATTATTTTAGCTGAACTTAGTGTAGTGTTTCTTATCCAAGCAAGAGCTTTGAGAAAGTATAGCGCTTATCGACCGCAATCATATATGTAGGGCTGCCGAGATTTAACAGTTTCTTGTGGACTGAGGAACTCAGCGTGTCGCAGTTGGCCTCTAGGAGAAACCGCCAGTAGATTGAGTTTGATTGAAAACTGTACGTGACTGTGCAAAGTATTTTTATCGTAACTCTGTACATGTTTCCAGTTGCTTGGACCAATGTCTCTCCGTATTTGTTAGAAGGCAGTAAGTTAGGAAGTGCGTTAGAAGAAAGCACAATACAACTTATGTTTATTGGATGTATAAGAAGAGATATATACAAAGTGAAAGGAATTTTCTTTGAATGTTCTTTTCCGTCGTCTCTAGACTTATAATGGTCATTTCGAGCTCGAAGGATTTTTATTCCTCTGTTTCATTCATTTACTTTCGAACCCCCTGAAGTAATAGCTTTTAATAGGAAGGATTATATGAAAATGTGTTATTTTAAGTCGTTCTTCTGAACAATTTCTAGTTTCTAAATGTCCTGAAACAACGCCATAGTTGATATTTTAAAATGTTTTCCATTAACTGTTACATGTTTGTAGAGGAATCGTGATCTGCCAAGAATAACGTTTTAGTAATTCACTTGTAGTACTACAAATATCGTATTGAAACTTTCGTAATTCAATTTGTATATGAACATTTGATTGATATTGAAATAGTTTTAAGTTGTCCGCCGTGTTACTGGTGTGCGTCTCATTCTTGAGCAAAACTAATGTTACTTTTGTAGGTCGATGTCCACGTTTAATATGCGGAAGTTTCATCTACAGTGGTATAGTAAGCGTACTGTTGGCCGACACATTCTTCTCATTACCGTATTATTCTTCCCATTTTTCTGTTATGTGTACTTCAATGTACTGCATTGTTCTCACATTCGTCAGTTAACGACGGGCCATTCAGCTTTCTTGATGCTTCGTTTGAACAATTCCTACCAACACAAGATAGAAAAAGAATTAAGCCCACCAATAGCTGAAAGAAAAAGATCTAGTGACCATAAGGATTACGTGGTTAGAGCTTGGTTGCCGAGAAGAATACATGAACGATTTGATGCTTTGTCTGGTAGCTTAGAAAGAAAGCTTCTTGTAAGAAGAAAATATTCTATTAAAAATCACCTCTCAATAAAGACACCGAAAACTGATATGCTTGTAAATAACATATCCCTACACCTGAATTTCACTGATGGGTCTCGAAAAGAAAAGAATTACAAAAAAGATACACAAAAAAAAATTGAAAACCTTCCTAAGTCGAGACTACCTCAAGCGCTAATAATCGGCGTGAAAAAATGTGGAACACGAGCTCTGTTAGAATTTCTTCGTCTTCATCCAAACGTTCGAGCTCCTGGTCCTGAGATACACTTTTTTGACAAGAACTACCATCTGGGTTTAGAATGGTACAGGTGAGTGAACCGTTTATTAGAAATTTACGCCAAAACAAAATATAATGAACATTTGAAGAAGACAGTAATATGTGTACTCAAATAGACCACTTTAACTCTAAAGGTTTTATAGTTTCATTTGACAAAAAAGAGTACAAACATAATAAAATGTGAACAGCAAAAGATGAGAAGATAAGATTGTTGATCTTTTTTAGCAAAAACGATCATGACTGATGGAAGCAGTTGTAGTAAGTAGTTGACCAAAGTTAAACTCGCTTAGTAGATTCGTTAAGGATGCTGCTTTATGTAATCTTGTTCATGAGGCAGAGTTACCTCACAGTTCAATTAAAGCAACACTTTAGTCTACAGGTAACAATAGTTAACATTATCGAACAAGGAACAGTTGTAATGTTTCCACTTACTCCTCAGTCTGCAGGTAAGTTTAAGCAAACGTTTATTAAGGTGAAAAGTGTTAACGTTAAGGTAAAAGTGTTAATGTTAAGTTTTCTGTTATTGCTGAATGTGAACGAATACACATCACGAAAAGTGTTTAACGCCAAAGTAAACAACATTTCTATACTGTTCAAACTTCAATGTGGCAGTACGAATACAAGTTAGGATTCACTAGATATATTAAGTTATTATTTCCACCTACTATTTCTTAACAATGACTACAGGGAAGGTGTCTTGACGTCTGTCGTGCTTCCGAAAAAAAATACACTTATAATGCTGGCTGAAATTTCATAAACGTCTGACTATATGAAAATCCTTTGCATCTAAGCCATTTTGTAGCTAAATAATAAGGAGAATTTATGGCCTGAAATTATAATAAGGATGTGGTAGGAGAAAATGTAACGATGGGATATTGAACTGAGTTCTGTATTTCTTTGTTAAATCAACTTAATATATGTAAAATACATTCAAGTTTGTGCGGATTTTTATTGAAACACCAAAACGTATTTTGTATCACATATAACAACAAAGCAAAAAAATAAAATAAAATAAAAAAATCTTATTTTCATGTTCTCATTTGCCTTCTAAACTTTAAACAATACAATTATTAGAATTCTATATTGTTAATGAAAGTTGAAAACGACTGACTTTAACCATATTTCACTTTTTTACAAATTTTTTCCAAAGACAAATAACTGGAAAATGAATGTTTTTCTATCATATACTTCTCTTCTTCAAGCACTGTAAGTTGTTTTTATGTATCATCTATTAATCATATATAACAATATGTTAAGTATAGATTGCTTAGACACTTAAACTACTACAGAACATTTTATTTGTACAATACTAATCTTATTCTCTAACACTTCACTTATAGCTTTAATTTCCTGCTATTTCAAAGATTTTGACAGCCACATGAAAACGTACGTGAACAGGTGCAAGTGAAAGTTGAAAACCAGTGATTAACCGTATTTCAATTTTTAAAACTTTCTTAGGCTATTGGCTATGGAATAACTGCTGATTTATTTTGTTGATAATGTTTATTTTTGAATCTATGGCTCTTAAGGATCAACACTTTAGTATAAAAAAAAACACAAAACTAAATGACTACAATAAATAGCTATTTGTTTTTGTTGTATTTCATGCAAAGCTATCGAAGACTATCTGTGCTAGCTGTCTTTAATTTTGAAGTGGTAGACAAGATGGGAATGTAGCTAGTCAACACCGTTCACAACAAATTCTTGGGCTACTCTTTACCAGTGAATAGCGAGATTTACCGTCACATCATAAAGCCCCCACGCCTAAAGGGGCGATCATGTTCGAGGATAGATTTCGATCCAGCAACCCGCAGATTGTGAGTCGATCACCACGAGGCTATGCCAGACTTACAGTAAGTAACAAGAATAACAAACAAAATAATGAATAGAACATTGACAAACGAATCACATTAGGATTAGCAAATCTCTTAAAGCTAATCTTCCTGATCTGTCAGACTAATATTTTATAATTATTTCGAAAAAAAAGATGAAAGAGAAGTTCACAATACAAATCTCGGTACAAGAGGTAAAGAGACATATTTTATATAGAACGTAGTTTACAAGGCAATAAATAGTACAGTTCTACATATATTACTTCTAGAAATACGTACTTCTGTCACATATAGCAGCACTTCAAAAAATAAACGCGTATTTTCATGTTTTCTTTTGCCTTCCAAACTTTAAACTATAATTCTATACTGTTAAATTAATTGCCATTCTAGGTTTTCAGTGATGTATAAATGAAACTACACACGCTCTCTCTCTCTCTCTATATATATATATATACTAGCTTACATACTTGTTTAATGCATGTTGAAGAGATAGAGGCCCTCGGGGGTTACATAGGGAGTCAGATCCGAATACTGACTTCCTTCGTCATTCCTTGAGATGTACGTCAGATTTGGTGAAAATCAGTCCAGTTATTCACCAGTTATAAGCAGATAAACACACACCAAAGACTTTTGTCAAATACTGGTTTATATACCGACCACTTAATCTTGGGAGATGTGTAGCATCCCGAGAAGTGGCTCCAGACATTAAATATATACTGAAAACAGCTGTTTCAGAAGAATGCCCCAGGATTTTATCAACACCGAGTTTTACCATGAAACATCGGTGACAAACTTCCGTTATTGTTCGTGGTGACTTTTCTCCATATTGAAATAAAATGTCGTGAACAGTAAAGACGTAAGTCCGCTGCTACTAAATACCTGTTTAAGAGCAGCTTTTAGAATTACATCAAAATGGACTAGGAGGGGTGATTTACATTATTTCATAACAGAGGTTTTGCCTTTTCACAACTACAAGTTTATATAACTGTTTTGTAATTTATGTTGTTTTTTTTACAAAACTTTTCACGCATAATATATTCATTGTGTTACAAAATAATGAACTCATGTTTAAAGAACAAATGCTTGTCAATTCGTTATTACTTTAAAATGAGTGTTTCTATTTTGTATAGCATATCACACTTCAAAATGCTAATGTTTAATAAATAAAAAGGTCTTGCGAAAATTTTCTCTTGCAATTGATAAGTGTTTGAGTGATTGATTTGGCCAGGTGGTTAGGGTGCTCGACTCGCAATCTGAGGGTCGCGGGTTCGAATCTCCGTCCCGCCAAACATGCTCCCCTTTCAGCCGTGGGGGCGTTATAATGTGACGATCAATCCCACTATTCGTTGGTAAAAGAGTTCCCAAGAGTTGGCGGTGGGTGGTGATGAGTAGCTGCCTTCCCTCTAGTCTTACACTGCTAAATTAGGGACGGCTAGCGCAGACAGCCCTTTTGTAGCATTGCGCGAAATTCAAAAATAAATAAATAAATATTTCTAAATGTAATTATGAGCTGAAATGTTCTAAAATTTTCACCTTAAAGCTGTACATAACTAACTTAATTTTTGTTGTTTTGATGGAAAGGAGTTTATTTTCTCTATAAGATAATACACTACTTAGATCTTCAATCTACATATTACAACCCCTTGTTTGACAAAGGTTATTGTTTTATTTTCAGAACTCAAACCTAGTAACGAAAATATAGTATACAATGTATTAATTCTAAAGCACTGCTGGTCATATATGACAAAATGTATGTTCAAGAAAAAATCTGTTGCTGTTTGTGCATTTAATCATTAAAAAATGTACTGTTTAGAGGACATTTAAAATCAGTGTTAACAAATGACATTAAAAAAATTGGAAACTCTGAAAAAGTATTTTTTTTTGCTAGTGCGCAAGTTGTGTGTTTCAGAATGTATATTTGTTCTATTACAATCTCGAAATTTTGGTTATGACCTCTCATCATAGTAACGTAAGACGAAATATTTTCCTGCTTGAACGAAATATTTTAATTGAATGCCAATTTTAGTCGAAATAACTTCAAGTTTTACAGAAATATCGTAATATTGGGGCTCTGAGTGACGCTGTAACATGTGGATTATGTATTTAACCTTCTAATCTGGGCCTTCAAAGATGAGCTAATAGCATTATTACAGAATATATTACCATACTTCTAAATGTGCTAGTAAGCTACTTGTGTTGTGGCTCATGTGAAGAAGGTGCTCTACATTAACAATGACTTTGGTTCTTTAATGACGGATTTTTGTTGTCATAACATACCATGTGTAAATGTGCATCTACTGATCATAAACAAGTATGCATGATTCTTGAGTACATCTGAATGATCTTTTTTATATAGTAGTAATAATTCAGATGCAGTAAGCGCCATTTGTGAATTGCGTTTTTAAATTCATTCCATTCTTTTCTAGTTCACTATAGATGTTATGTTAAAAAAATACTTTGTTTATAATTACAATAAATGTTAGAACATTATAGAAGATATGACTGTTACATTAATTTATATATAATATCATAACGAGTTGCTTAGAGAGAATTATATAAGTCAGAAAAGAAATTCATAATAGCTTCAAATATAATATATCAAAATATTATTTGATCATCTAATATGTTTAACGAATAAGCAAAATTTTAACTTCTAGGAGTTAGCACACAAGAAGAGTAACTGTGATAACTGGTCGTTCTAAGTTCAATAATTTACTCAAGAATAGATTTAAGAAATAAATATTTAAGAAAAAATTACGTGGTTTGTAATCAAACTAAAAAATCTTTTGACCGAGCAAAGATAATGTTGGGAGCGTGAGAAAGACATTTGGCCATTTAGTGGCAAAGGTTAGTAGTTGAAAGTCACTGTGACTTTACGTTTTGCACGTGTCGTGTAGTTTCAAGTGATAATTATAAGACTCAGGTAATGAAGATTGCTTGGTTAGAAGAAACGTCCTGTTACCTTTATACTGAGTTAGTATGGCTTTACTAGCTCTTGCCACTAGTGAAAATGATTACTAGCATGAAGCTAATGCAACAGTTAAAGTTTATATAAACTTGTATATTCCTGATGTGAAATATAAGGATATAGTGAACGCTTTTACATCATACTAAAACCAACCAAAAGAAAAGAATTAGAGAACTCACACAAATTGAATAGAGAACTCACTACTGCTTCAAGTAAATCATTTAATGATCAGCATAAAATTGAAACAGGAATACAAAATAAATTTAAAAATTTGCTTCGATTAAAACAAAAAGAAAACAGAAAATAAGCCTATCATTCCTGAACTTAGTGGTCTAGCATCTTGATGGGAAGTTATTTAAATGCATATTTCCTTCGTATGTTGTAATTGTACCAGTTTTCTTTTTGGCCGTTTTGATACTTGAAAAGCAGTAGAAATTATGTGGTAAATTCTTCTTTATAGTTTCAAACTCTAAATTTCAAGTCGCTAAAAACTGCATTTTTATTCTTTTGGAGTAATTTTAAACAGATGAAACATGAGAGTATTTTAAAGTCCCTGATTAAAGGTTCGCTTTAATGAAAATTTCTGGTTAACATCTTAATCAAAATTAAAAACCAAATGTTTGTTATAGAAGAGATATAGCATTCCAAGATAGCATGTTGTTAGATATATAATGTGTGAAATAAATCTTCAGTGCTTTATTAAGGATTACAAACTGTATAAGTAACACATAAATTTTAGTATAAAAGAACTGGTGCTTTAATCTATCTGATAATTAGCAATAAGTTATTCATTTCTTTCTTGGTTTGTTGAATCTTTTGAAGCAAGTAATGTCCAAATAAAATAATTAAAAGAGACAAAGGATATTATCATCCCATAATCTATTAAATGGATAAACCCAAATAAAACAATATGATTAAGTTTTCACCACTAGGTAATTTGTTTTGTTTCATGCCATGGAGTAGAATATTTTCCGAAAGTCGGAGTAGACTAATAAAAGTCTTTCAATAGGATGAAAGCGAATTACATGATAACTTGAAAGCTAATACTTTATTCATCGTACGCTCCGCGTTGTAAAATCCACAATTAATCAATTTTTAAACTGTTTTAATTCTAATGGTCATTAAATGCAGCAAAGAATAAGATATATCATACTAGGCCTATAATCCTGCTTATGCTAGACATAGGAATAAATTCAGATGAAAGAAATGGAATGTAGTATTTTTATACTTTATAATGCAATATCTTCTATAATATATGTCTTGTTTATTATGCCGACAGTTTAATTACCAACATAATATTGTACTTCATTATCCAAAGGTGAATACTTTAACTTTTGAGATTATGTCACGTGTCAGGTGTTATACTTTCTCAAGCTTCTATAGCAATCACACGAAAAGCAATACAAGCCCTTACATGACTAGAATCATAATATCAATAAACCCATTGACATTTGATCACCTTTGGGACGAATAAGAAGAACAGTTCCTTGAAAAACATTTCCAGTTTTTACTGATATCTACTTTCATATAGTTTCTTGCAATTACAGAGGATTGCGTATGTTATATTAAAACGAATTTGATTATGGAAATCAGCAAGTCATGTTGACAAATACAGTTGATATAAAGTCCAAGTGGAAAAGAATGTATCAGAACTACATTTTACATTGTTTATTACTTTTGGGAAGTAAGAGCCCTTTTTGACGCAAAATAATCATACATTCAGATCATGAAGGTGTGTTCAGATTTGGGCAGTAGAATTTCCAAAACAGAGACATATCTTTTGCTTAATGACGTTGAAAAACATAGGAATATGGATCATATTGGGGTTTCAGGTCCATCCAGAGACCTGCAACAAATGGTATCCCAGGCGTGGTAATAGAAATGTGGCGTCTTGTAATAGGTGAAAATCCACGAACACAAAGGCTAGTAGCAACAGCCGTCAACATGTTTTAGGTAACAGTACGTAGCATAATCAAGAAGGATTTGCACCTGGCAAAACACGTGTACATACGATACTAACAAGCTATAGCAGTTCAACTGTTACATACCTCAAGCAGCTATTCCTTTCGGTCAAGTCGGCAAACGCAGCTCCTGTGGATTAATGTGAGACTGGACTGTTGAAACGGGAGCTGGGAAATCGTAATCTTTGTACACTAGATGGATTATAGAGAGCATGCAGGAATCGATTGTATGTTTTGATATAACAACCTTAGATTTGGCCTCGTGTATTGTAAATTACCCTAAAAGGCTAAGATTCACGATCGTCAGATAGAGCATGGCCTAGACTATAACGATGTAAAGTGACTCCAAAATTGTTTCAATATAACGTACTCAAACTCTGTATACGAATACTGTTTAAGCAGAACGAAGATGAAGTACATAGCATTAACTACAGCATAGTAACACGCTTGCATTATATTTATTTACTGTATTCTTAGTGTAGTTTAAGTAAAAAAATAGCACACTTTGTATTATTCTGACTGCAAAGATAAAAAACCTTAAACGAAACGTATAATAAGCTAAAGATTGATGGATTTGTTGTTGTTTCGTTTCTCTGATACAGAATAATCACTCCGTTAAGGGCTCATGAAAATATCCTGGACTCTATTCATTTTCTAGTACATATAAGATACTTAGTTAAATCGCTTTGGTAATGAACATTCATTACGAACCACTGGGAGATTGTTGCATGCTTCACGTGAATTGCAGCTAAATTTTATCATCAGCAAACCAGTCATTTTTGTAAAAACAACCAATGAAACTTTCGCCCAAAAAATCATTCGAGGTTGAGTTTAATTTGTTACGTATTACAATTTCAAATAACCTAAAACTGAGTTAAATTGTACTTTAGATCTAGAGATTAAGTAAATTCCGATATGTATACAGTTTATGATATTTGCCAACAAAATTTATACACACAGTTTTCTTTTTTAATACAAATAGATTTTAATATACAACCAATAATACAATTTACAATAACGGTTTTTACAAATAGTTATTACAAACAATGATTTATATACAAAAGTTTTACAAACCTACAAGCAATATAAAGTCTTCTTTCTAGTCTGGAACTTCCTTCGTATCTAATCTAGGGTTCACGATGAACGAGTTAATTTCGAGTTGACGTAGGCAGAATTCACTTAATAGGGAGCTAGCTAGATTTGTAGTCTTCGCTGAGTTTTCTACCGTTGAAGTTAGGTAATGTCCGATGTGTATCCACTGAAGTTAAATAATTTGTAATGTTCGAACTTTGTAAATATTCCTGGTCAAATATCTGAGTTTTCCGATTAATAAGTGTTATAACAATCACAGTTATAGTTTCCGAAGTTTATAGCACACCAATAGTAGCAAACAAATAATATATACTATTTCTCAAGCGTCGCGTTGGTTATATTTATAAGCGTGTGGAGAGTTCCTCGAAACTTCAGTTTACTTAACAACACTGACGCTAACACTAGCGTATAAGTACACACATATATATTGTTGATTATTACACTCGAGAATATTCTACAACTTTAGAGAATAGACGGAGGTTTCACAATACATATTTAACAGTATAAGTTATGTACATTTCTAAACATAAATTTAATTTAAACAAACATCGATATCAAAACAATTATATAATAGTAAATCCGTCACAAGTTCTTCACAGTTTAAGTGCTATGGAAAAACATGACGAGTATCGATATTGCTGGATTCATTTAGGTACTTTTTGTTATAAGCAAATGTAATTTTACTAGCGATGAAATATTTGTTTGATTTTTCTAACGATCAAAATATTATTAATGATTGGCACATTATTTAATTTTTCAGACAGCAAATGCCACTGACATTGGAGGACCAGCTGACAATCGAGAAGACGCCAAGTTACTTCGTTAGCAAACAGGTACCGATCAGAATCCATAAGTTATCTCGTGACATGAAACTACTGTTAGTAGTCCGTGACCCCGTAACACGGGCAATCTCTGATTACACACAAACAGTAACCAAATGGCCCCAAACACCTCCCTTCAAACACATGGCATTTCTAAACACCTCAACTGGACTATTGGATACATCGTGGCCAGCAATCCGTATCGGAATGTACAGCCATTACCTCCTCTCTTGGAACCGCTTTTTCCCTAGTCGACAGATTCACGTGGTTAGCGGAGAAAACTTAATACAAGATCCTGGTGGAGAAATGGCGATGGTACAAGATTTCCTTAAACTGCCTCGCGTCGTGAGTAATCACCATTTTTATTTCAACCAAACCAAGGGCTTCCCGTGCGTCAAGAAATCAGAGAACAAAGGTGTGCCTCATTGTTTAGGAAGAACAAAAGGCAGAACTCATCCAGACATCTCATCAGAAACTATTGAGAGATTGCGGGACTTTTACAGACCTTTTAATCAGAAGTTTTACCGTATGGTTGGAAGAGATTTCATGTGGCTTTGAATGTTAGAAGTATAGTCAGAGTTTCTCAATAAGAATTGGAATGTTCAACCATAGGGTCCAATGAAACTTTCTGTGAACGTGGTCTTCCAAACTTATTTTAGATTATAGAAAGGCCTTGTCGTTGTTATGCCATCTTGATTACTTATTTGGAAGGGCTTACTAGTATGTGTGAACATTTTAAAATTCTAAATCTCAAGTAACGGAAGCAGAATGGAATAATAGAATCCAGCTCAGTAAATAAAGATAAATTTACTCTATTTTAATTTAACCCATTTTCAGCTAATAAACGGATAGAATAAAAAAAATGTTATTATATTTGAATTCTCCAAAGATTATCAACATAGGTTACATCGAAAACTGTTCACGAGATACAGACATTCTTTTAGTCTGAATATACGTGTAAATGAAACGTATAAAACACGTAAGCCAGTTTTCAGCAATAATAATTATATGTGGAAAACAAAGTGACACATAAGGCATTTTAGGCCACAGTCATTAGTTTTATATAAAAGTTTGACTGCTGTCTGTACATTGATGTATTTAACAAGACATGCAATTGAAACAAACCTCGTTTTTAATATTATGAAAGAAAATTAGGTGAAATTGATAACAAAATGTGGAAGGCTCACTTATTATACACAAGTACTAAGTGAGCCTTCCACATTCACATTCACATACTCACAGAACTCACAGAATACTTGTGTATATATAAAATTTATGGTAATTTACTATTTTCGCGGTTCAAACTAACAACGATATGTTATGTCTTGTACTTATAGAAGTTCACCAATACTTTGTTACTGTTAATTATTAGTATGTTCTGGCTACTACGTAAGACCACGTAATTTGTCATAAAACTACCCTAAGATTAACTTCAGTGTATTATTTGAAAATTAACTTTCAGCATATTTTATCAAAATGAAAAACAAGTAGAAAATTATTTCATTCATATTTAAGTCAGAACATGAAATTTTAATTTTTAGTGGTTAGTCTTTAATTTTTGGATTTGAAAAAAACTTATTTCCCCTGGTTACTAGAAAGTAAATTTGTTTTACTTGTGACATTCAGTATTATATGAGTCACGTCGAAGTTTAATTATACTAATGAACCTTGTTAGTCATTAGCATTTGATATTATACATTCTGGTTAGATTGGGTTATTTAAAGTATTTCATGTTAGGCGCATTAATTAAGTAAAGTCAGGTCATTATAAATATGAAAGAAGAAACAATAAATACATTAGAGAACTCGTTCTTGTTTTTACTGGTTTATTGTAAGAAGTGGTTCTTGCCGTCTGTGTTCAATAGCTACTTCAAACAATAATTAAAGCACACTTTTGGTTCTGAAACATAAGATAAGAAGAAAAGCAATTCGAAACTAAAAATTAACATAAAAAAGATTGCTCCATTAATTAGAAAAAAAGTTTAGACGAAATAGATCAAAATGTGTATTCTAGTCTTCTTTGTTAATTACGAATTTTTTCATTTGAAATTTAAAACTTTTATAAGAAAGGCTCATCACGTTGTTTCTACTTGCTTTCGAAACTTCAGTAGAGTAAATTAAAACAAACTTTTGTTAGTTTTATATTTAACTAAAATCGGCCGATCGTTTCTTCAAACTATTTCATTTATTCTACTAGTAATCAAATCAGAACAATAGAAATAATAATAAAAGCTAGTACCTATCTCACTTTTTTAAACATTGTACTGATTAATTTAGGCGGTGAACTTTATATGGAATTTCATAATCTTAATAATTTATTCACTAAGTTTTATGTAATTAAGCATAAATAATTTCAACTGGGGACTAAAGGTAGTTTGGTTGATCGGTAGTTTATGTGTGACATTACTTCACAATAACACTGACCAATCATAATTGTTTACAAATCTTTCTTTACTGGCCTTATACTGCGTTTTCCAATAAGAAGAAACGTAACATCATACCTTTCGCTCTATAGCACAGCTGCTCCTGACGTCTCGGTCTCAATGTGTCCCACAAACTATCGATCGGTAAATCACACTTCACCAGCATAAATACATCACGATAATTAAAGAAGAGTGCTTACAGTGTTAAGTTATAAAATGCATTAAATTAAGCTTTCCTAAAATCAAAATTTAAACACTAACCCTGTAGTAATTAACAGGCTAGAGCAATCAAATTATACATATTTATATATACTATGTACTTATGAATCTATAATCTTGTTAACTCCTATATATAAAGCTGTAAGTTTTTTGGTTATTTGTTTCAGATTTCACGCGAAGTTATACAAACCAACCTACGTATACATATCTTATCAAAAACATCTTAGGTGTGAAAAAAGGTGCAGTCGAAAAAGGACTGAGCGTGCGATTTAAAGGAATGGAATCAAAACTGGTAGCTACACTTATAGCATTGATAAGAATTTTACAGCAAATATTCATTCATTAGCCAGGCCCCTTTTTCTGTTCAACTTGGGGCATGGTGGTGGGTAAAACAAATTACGCGGCCCAGCTAAATAGTGAATGAATATTTGCTGTAAAATTATTATCAATTCTATAAGTGTAGCTACCAGTTTGGTCGCCAATTTTGATTTCATTTCTTTAAACGCATACTCAATCCTTTCATGGCCTCACCTTTTTTCACACCTAAGGTATTTTTGATTAGATATCATGACTTTTTGTCAATACACACCAGTAAACCACAGCAAGTGAGAAAGTGACACTCAATAGTAACCAACATTAGCTTCAGGATCGCAACCCTATTATTCGGAACAGACCTATACTTTACAGAACTAACCAGCATTCTTTAAAATATATGGTGGTGGTTTTTCCTCTCTAAAACAGTGTTAATAACTTAATTTATAGTAACACTATATAATTTAGATTAACAATTCCTTGTCATCACCCGCATGCACTCGGTACAGCCGTATCAAGCATCATTATTTACTCTAATATCACGTGACGCTAAACGCTCTTTAATTAGGAGGATTTCATAAAATTTAGTCAATTTATGTTTAAAAGTTGGCAATGAATAGTGAATAATAACCGTCCACCCGTACGATTCTTTCGAAAACGTGAGCTTGAAACTACTAATCTAGTTTGCTTGGCTACAAGTTTGCATGTCCTTTCACCCTATAGTTTTAGTTGGCAATGAATAGTGAATAATAACCGTCCACCCGTACGATTCTTTCGAAAACGTGAGCTTGAAACTACTAATCTAGTTTGCTTGGCTACAAGTTTGCATGTCCTTTCACCCTATAGTTTTGCTGCTCTAAATCAACCGTCTTTGATCCAAATGACAAAAAAATCAAAAAAGTCCACCTTTACTCTTAGATGAAGCTGGAGTAAAAGTTTTAGACCGACAGCCCACGTGATTTTTTTGCATTTTTTTTTAAGCGGTTTTTGTGGGATAACGTTGTAAATGTTGCTTATATTTAGACCACATTTGACACCTAATTGTAGGTTCTAAAAATCTCTCGGTGTACCAAAGATGAAGAAAATCAATAAGAGTTAAGTATATTTTGGTATCAAATAAAGTTCTGTACTTTTGGTGCGAAGAAAAAAAAAGAGAAATAAACTCAATCAAAATTGGATATTTTATATCTCAGGTATTTCTTAATGGATTACCTTAAAATTTGATATGTGAAGTAAAGGTCCAGTAGAGTACATCCACGGAAAATATATGTTAATTTGGATTACCACAGTTCTAGCTACAGAAAGTGTAATATCGCTAAACTATCACTATTGTTAATAACACACGGTGTGTCCTGCAGGTTATTTTTTGGCTGCACGACACTCTACCGCGTGCCTTTATATACACGTATATATAAACTGTTGGGGAAGATAGCTTGTCAAATAAGTGACGTGATGACAGTTAAGTTTTTCTTTTACAGTATCCTACCTTTAAGGCAGGAATATATGATATGATTAAACCCACCTGGAAACGGGAATGGGCCTATCTGTGTGTTGGTGGCCATAAACGTCCAAAGTGCAAACGAAGCTTTTGTACTACAGAATAGAATAGCGTCTACGTAATTTAGTCTGTTAGAATCATATCTTATATATGAATTAGACTACCATTTGAGACTGGGTAACATGTCCAAGTCAGACGAATTACATGCGAGATCCCATTATG